CTCGTCATCTGTTCTATATACGTTTAATTGTCGTTTCTTGAAATATATTTTACTGTCGTCGCATCCAATGTGCCACTTCCCAATTAGAAATGATATGCTTGCGATTGTTAAAGGTTAAACAGGGCTGTGGGTAATTGTAATTCAAGTCTGGATGAACAAAGCCTAGTGTCAATGGGATGCGGGGATATTTTTTTTGGTGCCTCTTGTTGTTGTTGTAAAGTTCAGTTTAATTAATGTCCAAAATGGCCGCTTTCGCTTTGCCTCGGTCCGACCTAACTCGTTTGACCAAGGAAATTGTATTACAATGTAACCTTTACGAATTGGACCGTGTTCCCATGATATTTTTTTTATACCCATCGAAAAATGTGATTGATTCTAATAGACCATTATTACTCTAAACGTATCAATTAAATTTCATGACCATTCGACAAAAAAAAACTACTTTTGAATAATATCAATCTTTTTTATGTTAACTAATTATTTGATGACTACCATATTTATGTTTATCAAACGTACTAATTAAATTTAACGACAGTTTTCTATACACGATGCAAAATTAATTTAAAGATTTTTTTTTTTTCAAAATAGAAAATCAATGATTTATATAACTATTAACAACTTAGTATTACCAACATTTTATGAACGCAGCACTAACAACAATTGTACTGATTTTACAACAAACTGCGAAAAGTCGCATGCTCTGTAGAAATTCCAATGCTAGTTTGTCACACGAACATAGATTGTTTCCCATGATTATCTTTGTTTGAAACTCGTGCAACAATAAAAAAAATAATAAAAGTCTAATTTTAATTTTAAACGAATTAATTAATAAATCTATAGCAACCATTTCTTATTTTCGAAAATTGAAATGTGCAAAACTTTCATAATCGTGACACAAATTATTGACATAACCCAAATCGTGATTTCAATGAAATTTCAATTGTGGAATGCCGACTTGTTTTCTATTGGATTTTGACGATCGTTAACTTAATTAAAGTTAAGAATATTCTAAATGGATAAGAGCATTATCAAATTTAAATGAGTTCTTTAACTGTGACTGTTGACACACTTTAGCACACTATTTTACATATTTCAATTCCTTAATCTTATAATCAATTGGCATCAATTCACTAATATTTTAAACAATTCTTGTGTATAATCTATTTTATTTCGAATTATTTATATATTTGAACGTGCTTGTTATTGTTTTCGTTCTAATTTTTGTAAATAAAATTCCTATTAATAAACGCCTTCTAAATAAAAAAAAACTGTAAATGATACCACGTAGGTTGTAATACGGTGTTTAAAAAATAACACGATATTTCTTTCCTGTGTTTGCGAATAATAATAATAATAATAAAAAAAAAGGTGCGCGAAGAAATAGAAGCCTACGGTGTTAATAAATTTGAAACGAGCGGTGTCGTGTGATTTTAATTACTTGTTTTACAAAGGTACCATGTAACACAATCTTCAGGACCTGATCCAGATCCACGTGATGTGTTTGCGTGGGAATATCCTTTGAAAAGAACATCTTGAATCACTTGAAAAACTAAACGAAAATTACATCCTGTATCGTATGAAAATGCTCACATTTGCGGTAATTTATTAAAACTTTAATATTATTAAATTAATTTAATAAAATATTAATCTTCCGGAACATCTTCAGTCAAAAAGAAAAAAAACTGTTATTTCCTGTATCGACGCGACCTAGAAATAAATTAAAATCAATCTTGATTTTAAATAAAAGTTGTTTGTTGAGGTCAGTCTTTCGTTGAACTTAAGGAGACACATTTTTATCTGTATATATTTATAAACAAGGATATAATCCACGCTTCTGTTACAATTAATTAAAAGATTAATTAAAAGACAAATGTATAAAATGTTTTCAGTCGCTCTAAATTTGGTAAATAATAGAAAATCAGAAGTGAAGCTCAAACAGCTCACTTTCAATGTTACAACTTACACAGAGCAATTTACATCACTTTCTCATAGAGAAAGTAGTTTTTTTTTTATGAAACCGCATTTATTATTGAATAACAATTAAATTACGTCTAAAAAAAAATGAGAGTGTAATCACTTAATTATAATTTGCGGAATCAATTTAAATACATTTTTAAAACGAAGGGGATGGTAAATTTAATTAAGTTTAGAAACGCTTTTTGAAGAAAAAAAACTGGTACAAATCGCAATTTCCATTTGTTCCCAATGCAAGAAACAAATCGTCAGCTATCGTTGCCCACCGGAACCAATAGATAAACTACTTTCTCTTCCACGAAACTCGAAGCAACGGACGGAGAAGAGAAGAGGTGTTGTTTTATGCTTTAGCATTGTTGACAAGAGACAAGCAAGCTACAGCAAATTGTTAACGGCCTTCTGCTATAAGAATGTATCGACCCGTGTTGAATTAAATATTTAAGTATTCTCCCATGCGACCTTATGAACACGGCACGGCGAAGAAAAAGAGAGAACCGGAAAATACAGGACGAAATACTACCACTAAAAACGAACGGAGACACAGGAGGAGAAGAAAAAAACGCTATTTATAATTCAATGTGCGTATAAATTATTCACAATAGTTATTTAGGAAACGAAACGAAATGAACTTACCGGAGATAAAGGCATGGGTAAATAATTTAAGCAGGTTTCAAATATTCAAACAACTTTTATGTCAGGTAGATGACAGAATGTGTGATAAATATAAATAAAATATTTTACCATTCTGCTACTTTACATGGTAATAATTTCAGTTTATTTTTGTATGTAAATTACAAATAATTATATATTGATTCAGAATACGATTTATAAGTTTGTTTATTTCTACTTTATCATTGGTTTCACCATGTAATTTATTACAATTATTGGCTGAATCTCTGACTTAATTATAATACAAACCATGTAAAATTGTTATATTTTGCCTTCCATTATTTCCTCATAAATAAAATATCAACAGCAGAATAATATAAAACGAAACGATAAGATCTATTTAGTAACATTTTCATTTACTTTTTGAATTAATCATTAGTTATATTACACCTGAGTTTTGCGTGACTTGTGTGAATATACTTTTAACTGAAAATGTATACATTTTGCAAAAACGTATATTGATTTGCTGAAGGTAAAAAAAAAGAAATATAAATATATATATATATTTCGGTTGCTTTCCCTTCATTTTATTTCAACATAAATGTCAAGCACAATCAGATGATAAAAATGCGTAGGTCCGAATGAAAGTGGACTTTCGTAATTTGACAGAGAAATGTTTGTTATCCATGAAGAAGTAAAGAAAATTTAGAATGTTTGTACCTTTCTCAGAATAAGCTTTATAAACGAGTTGTGAAAGTTCCTTAATAGACATTTTCAAAGAAAATTTTCGGTAATAGCATTACCTTCATAAATCTCAATTTTTTTTGGGAACTGGTCAAGATTTTCCTTAGATAATTTTGTCTGATAGTCTAGGCGCCTTATGTATATTTCTATTGTTACAAACGATTGCTTCAGTTAAACCAAAAGCAATGATCGCTGTTGCTAATGATCTGCAAATAAAAATACATTAATAACGTAATTATGATTAGATTTCATCCAGATTATTCGGCTCGTTACAGCGAAATTAACCACCATAAAACCACTCCGCTAAGCGACAGAGATATATAAGAGAAAAAAAAAATATATTTCGTAGTAATTTGTGACCCATTTCTTTGGTCTTATCTTGCGTGCTGGAAACAATCAAATCTTTCAGACACGTTATGCACCAAGAGTTGCCTTGTATATTTCGCGCCGTAACTCTTTCGCACCGCTTCGAATATATAAAATCTACAGTGCGGCATTAATGGTTTTTTAAATGCTGGTAATCCAGTTTTACGTGGATTCGTGTAACGTCGTTTGCAAGATTGAACACCTTTCCTGTATTAAGACATAAAAATAATAGTGCAATGCTATTTGTGTGCGCTGCGAAATACTACAATGTCGCAGAAGACGAAAGATTGCAGCAAAATGTATTCAATAATTTGAATGAGGAAGTACGTAAGGTCGTTAGCCTTTGCAGTACCGAAGGATTTAGAATGGCTTGGTTTGTGTGTGTGTGCATAATTTCTATCATTCATCTTTGATGTTACACGGTTTTCTCGTAAATGACAAATTAATCCAATTACCAATTTAGGTTCCGTGCACTCCCTTAACCTTTTACTACCCACACGTCTAGAATGTAACTAATATAATTATACTATAAAAAAAATGTGTATGTAATTTGTGAATCTTTCCATCACTTTCTACAATATTTCATTTTCATTTCTCGCAAATTATATTGGTTCTATATGCTTTTTATTTATCTTTTGAATGATTAGCACATTCTTCTTTGAGACTTAACAGCTTTAATTAACTTTATATACATAGAATTAATTAAGAGTCGCAGCTTTCGCTTTTAGCAACACTAAATTTATACGGATTTAAAAAAAAAACGTTTTTGATTAATTTACTTGTTAAGTCCACATTCGTGGAATATATTTTGTTGGTTTATCATTTAAATGAAGAATAAATTAATTTCTTGAGAATAGATTATAGCAATTATATTATGAAAATGCAAAATAATCTTTTTACTTTCATTTATACTAATTGGAATTTCCACCTGTTATCGAATTTCATTGTTTCCTTATGTATTTTCTACATAATTTTGAGAATTTACCTTAGTGAGTCTCATATATTTTGAACATGTGTTACCAGAAAAGCGAAGATAAAAAGTATGCTTCTGGGGACAAAAAAGAAAGAAACTGTGATGGTGAATCAATATCGGATGTATAAAACGCAAGCTGCGGTAGCAAAGCAGAACGTTCTTGGCAACGGTATTATGATCATTGTTATTATTATTACGATGATGATATCTGGGGAGTATTTTGGTGGACGTGACCTCCTGCAGCAGGATATTACACGTGCCTGCAACGCTGTAGGCATACCGCATTTATCCATCCATCCAACCATCTGATTTTCCTCTACTTCTGTTGTTTCAGATCAATTTAAGACTGATCCTTGTCAGCGGTAAAACGAAGGAGTTCCTTTTCAGTCCCAGCGAATCGGCCGGAGACATTGCTCAGCATGTTTTCGAAAACTGGCCGGAAGGTAAAGAACCTTTTATTTATTTTTTTTAATCTATTTTTTTCTTTAATTTCTCTTTGTTCATTAAATGCATCACTACTGTAGCTATGACCTTTTTGTATTATCTTGTTTTTCTTTTTCTTATTAATAATCTAAGTAGTATTTGTAAGTACCTCGGAATCATCGATACAACAAGCACAATATATAAATAAATGGAACGCGGTGTGTCCTCTTTGATTCCGAGTGTTATTTTAAAGTAAGCAACACGATAACCTATTTAAAATATGTGTCATGTTTGCTTATTTATGTTTAAATTTGATTAATGCCTTCATTTTATTATTTATTTAGATTTTAAATAATAAATGCAAGCAGATTAAAATCGACTAGGATATACCCTAAATATTTAAAATAGATACATTGTTCACTTGCACATTTCCATTTGCACATTTCCATTTGCTCAAAGTCTTATTTCTATAAAAGCGTTTGGATTCAGAATGGGCTCATCACATCAACATTTGTTAGCCAATCATTCAAATCATTCAATTTCGACTATTTCCATTCGCATATTGTGCTTTAGATTCATTAATATACAGCGCAGATTCCAGATATCTTCGTAATGTATGTTGAATCTCAATCGGATCAAGACGCGCGTTGTGTATCAAATTTTAATTATTCATACCCATTACGTTTGATAATTCATTCAATGCCAAAAGCCGCATCTATTGGCATTGCTTAAGATGTATTCCATTATTTAAACATTCCATGAATACGTTAGCACCGAATAAATAACGAGTAAAAAAGAAATCGTAGACAGAAATCGAGATAAAACTGTTCGTGGAATCATCTTATGAGTTCACTTGTAATCTGTGCTTTAAGTGAATCTTGGAAAGGACATTTCATTATTTTCAAAACTATATGAAGGCTCATTAAACGTTATTCCAGCAATCGTCTTTGATCTTTTATACCATAGCATGAAAGCAAATGCTGCGTTTGATGCAATAATACCACGTATGTATTTATCAAAAATTTAAGACTTTTTATCGTCGCAACGAAGCGAAAAACGATCCTTTTTATGTTACGATTCCTACTAAAATCACTGCAAGCCGTGTATTTATGAACTTTATGGTCACTGATATTTCAATCATCAAGTTTGGAAACTAGTTTTAAATTTTTATGAGGAAGATTATAATCATTTCTTCCTGAATCCATATCTGGTTGGAGATTAAAATTGCATTCGCTTTGGTGTTAACTAATTGATCAATAAAGTCAGGTAGTCAATAGTAGATAATATATTGAAATCATATTTAAATGAATAGTTATGTATAGAATATCGATACATATATTAAGTATATTTTCGTAAACATCAACAATGGATCAGACGGTTCGGCCTTCGAGACATTCTTGAAAGGAGTTTGATGCAAGTAACTCGACTTATTACATTCAAACTCTTATAAAAATATTAAAATATTAATTGTTATTCGATAAGTAAATCCAATATTTTTCCGCTCCCTACATCTTCATTGAATATAAATTGGATTTAACAAGAATATTTGTAATATGAAGGGAATTTATGGATGACGGCATCCTTGCGGCCCTGATGCGACAGAAACAAGGACGATTTATTTTATTAAAAGGAAAATAAGTCAATTTCAAATTGAGAGAATAATTAAATTGATTTGTTCAAGATTATAAAATAGATACATCGACAATAATGTAATTTGTTTGCTATTATTTATTATTGATTTTCATCATCCGATGTTTATTTGCAAATGAAGATCATGTGTTGCTGCTGCTGCTGCATTTGCTAAATGTTAAAGTGTAATTTTTAATTGTTGTTGTGCAAATATCATGTAATCATTGGATGGCAAAACAGTGTTTCAAGGAATCGATTATTCATTTCAAAATTGCTTACATTGAAGTGTGTTGTTGTTTTTTTTATTACAATTTTTTAATTGTTTTTCTTTTTCTAATTGTAGATTGGTGCCAGGAGTCGGTGTCGAAGGCGGAAATACTTCGGCTCATATACCAAGGCAGATTTCTACACAGCAATGTTACATTAGGGGCACTCGGCTTGCCGTATGGAAGAACAACAGTCATGCATTTGGTTCCTAGAGAAAACTTACCTGAGCCTAACTCACAAGGTAACAGATTAGTAAATTTCTGAACATTAATCTTAATTTGTTTTGTTTTTTGTTTGTTTTTTTTTAGATCAACGACAGAAAAGTAAAGGAGGTAACAGTAGTTGTTGCTCGGCGTCCTGCTGTATACTTTAAGCTACACGAGTCTGCCATTTTATTAAAGAGTCACTCCTTAACGATGTAACAAACACGGTGACTGCACTGAAGAATGAAAAAAAATAAAAACGTATAATAATAAACAAAACAAAAAATAGGAGAAAAATAACAACAACAGCAACAACAGCAAAAAAATAAACAGAACGTAAATTATAATTTTTAGAGGAACTGGATTTTGTGTATTATATATGGAAACTATATTACAAAGTAAACAAATTCAGTGTGTAACTGTAACATATTAATATTAATAATAATAAGAAATAATAATAATAATGAAGTTTCCATAATGTTGTGATATCATTTTAGTGTGTAATATCTATATATACTCATGTGCCAGACTAGAGTGTTTTCAGTTGATTTTGAGGAAAGCAAAAAGGGGAAAAAAATCGATAAAACGTGTATAAGAAATTCGCTGCATTCATCCCACATCATCATTTTATATTTTTTAGTATATTTATATATGTAGTTTGTACATTATGTTTTATACAGAATAATAACTATTGACATTGTATTGCTTTTCTTTTCGTTTGATTTTATTTTCACTCGACACTGTTTTCTTTTTGTTATTTTATCCAGTATTATATATTTATATACATATTCTTGTTAATACCAAACTCTCTCTCACTCTCTCTCTCTCTTTATATCTGTCTGTCTATACACTCTCTTGATTGTTTTATGTATAAAAAGGAAATGGAATACGGAAGCGCGTTTTAAACAATTTCAAATCTAAATACGAAGCAGTAATGAACACTTACTTGTTTACTATGGACGATTTTTTCATTGTAGAATATGAAAAAAAAAATTATATATATATATTAAAGAAGAAAAAAATGAATAATACGTGTTTATATACTTGCATTAAAATGAGAAGTATTACTTAAGTAGATATATACATATATATTTGGAGTTACCTCATGTAATTCTATATTGTCTATATATTTTATTATATTTTTTCGTTTCGTTTTCTTGAAATATTTTAGCAATTAAGCCTGCTGCATCATCCCTCCAATATGATTTGTCCCATTCGCATTTATGTTATCGAAAACGAAAGATGAAGATGAAAAAAAGAAAAGAAGTAATAAGCATAAAGTGTAAAAGCATTATGAATATCATACCAGTGTACCTAATAATTTTTAACGTTCGCTTAAGTGGTCCTAAATATTGTTTATCATAGCAATCACAATTTATACATGTTATAAATTATGTTGAATAATATAATATTTAATAAAAGAAAACAAAAAAAAAGTATATATATTAAATGGACCATAGATTTATAATTTATCCGAATGCGTGGACGAGATTGGAATAGAAATGAAACGTGCTGAGACACAACGACACCATCTTAATTTATTAAGTAAATAAGAAAATATGCGCGTTCCATTTTGTTTTGTTTTTTTGTTTCGAGCACACGTCGAAGTGATTTTATTGATATGTGTAGTATGTATAAAATAAATAATTAAATAATAAATAAATGGAGTACGAAATGGAGTAAGAAATACAAACAAAAAGAAAACAAAGAAAATATGAAGCGTTTAGTTAATTTAACTTAATTTATCCTGTCTATTGTATATATACAACATTATTGTTATTCGAGCAACAAAAAAAAAAGAAGAAAAGATGAAGAACACGCGCGATATTGAAGACTTTATGTTCAGAATAAAATGTCTAAAATAGTTTTATTGTAAATATATATAGTAGTATTGTAATAAAATGTATTTTTGTTCCCTATGCATTGTTCATTGATTTGCAAAATTACTTAGAAATAAATACTTGATTATATTATGTGATTTTGTTTTATTTATTGTGTGTGTGAATAATGAAAATCCGTCTCTTGTCTAGTGCATGATAACGGATTTATATATCTATATGGATGGACTTAATACACTTCATAAAAGGCTATCCCACTTTATATTCTACTTAAATGGAAGAGCGGTGGTACTTCTTGTCACTACTGCTCTTAACCGAAGAGGAATGAGGAGTATTAGATAATTAAGTAGATATTTTATATAATCATGGTCAATAGGTTCAATGTTGCTTAGGTGACCTCAGACCTCAACGTTTCTGGGAAACTGACATTGCGTGTATTCTTTTCGCTGCGCTGCGTGCCAATAAGTAATACATTTTGTTGTATTTGGCACAAAAAAAATGTAGGAATATTAGTATTAATAAATGAATAGTTTTTTTTTTGTTAAGAAAAGGAATGACATGGATCTAATGATCTGAATTACGAATTACATCAGCATTTAATCTAGTAGGTGAAATATAGTAAATATAATGTAGTTACAATTAATATATTGAAACATTGTTGATTGAAATAACAAAAATGCTATATTGAACTATAACATCTAATACAATTAAGACTACATTCTGATTTAATTGATATCGTTAATAAAGTTATCAAAAATATATGAAAATCATGATAAATTACATACGAATGTATATAAATAAATATTACTGTTTGTAAATTATTCTGTTCATGATTTAACGCATATTTGAATACGAGCAACTGAAAAATAACTTCAAGTAACTTCTGTTTTTGTGATTCAAAGACTAACATTAATGTTATTTTTTTTTTGACAACTAGCAAACAGTCATCATATTTACTTCTTAAATTAAATTTGTGTTTGTCAGTGAATTATTTTTATTTTATGACAAATAGGACAAGAAATAGAACCAGACCAACGTCTAAATATAATACGAAGGCAACAGGATTAACATTTTTTAAACTAAAAAAGACGAATTAAAATTTTAGAATTTTTATAATTATATTGTATTTTGAGAGTAACTATCATATTAGCTGACTACTGATAGTTTCTTTTTTAGTGTAATGTTCCAATATTTGTTACATTTTATACATCAAATTCTTCTTCAACAACTGTTTCTTTATAAATCTCTTAAATTTTCTGTATTGAGAAAAAATACAGGTATTTTGTATCAAAATTTAGCAGGAATTTCGATATGGTTTTTTCGATTTTTATACTTTGCTAATCCTATTAGGAAATTTATCAAAAATATGTATACTTTAAGTTGAATATGTGACTAATAGTAATAATAGTCTTCATTCTCCCGGCGTAGCCACCTGGCGACTTTACTCCTCACTTGGAACATTTCACTCTATGTTTTTGCCAGTCACATACATTGAATTGATTGAAACATATGTGTTTTGGAAACTCAGGTTGTTAAGTTTCTAAGGTAATGGGTCGGTGTCCTAACAGTTCTGCTCTTATGAAAAATTTAGACAAACAACAAAGAAATATAAATATAAAGTCATATAATTGTATAGCCATCTAACGTTAATTAACTAACTAAAATATAGCGCCATCTCTGTAACGTATTTGACTTGTATAAAATAATTTCCATGTGGTTAGGCAACTTAAATTACTATTTGAGACTTGAGTAGTTGATTGTCGACGATGATAGATGTCGCAAGATGGTTAATTTCTTTTGTTTGATTCCGAGCGCTCTAATTAATATTTTAATGTATGCAAAACGAAATGAAATTAGAGACGGACGGAAATAAAGAAATGGAGAGATAGTCAGTAATTAGCGTTCGGCCGAAGCTGCGTAACCAATCACGTCCAATTTTGCAACGGAATGGTTTTATGCAAACGAGAAGAAGTGAAGAAACCGGCGATTTTTCGCCGTTTCATTGCCTCGTTCGTTACTTTATTTTCGTACTTCTGGATGCTCGTTCCTCCTCACGCAAGAACGCGCGTCGTCGAACCGTTGTTGTCATTCGCACAAATGAGAAAAGCCAGAAGCACTTTCGAATAATTAATAAATTTCTTGGCTCGAGTTATTTTTAAATTTAATTAAGTCTCCTTTACTTTCCCTTTTTAAAAGCGCATTTACATCTTATCGCGCATAAATTACTCCATGTTTCTACCAATATTTATTATATTCAGCGCATTCTTGTTTTCTTTAATCGCTAGTAAATTCATTTTCTTGTTATTGGGGGGAAAGTTCTTATAACGGAGATGTCGCGTTTCCTGCTGCGAACTGTAATGTAGAAAACAATAAGACAATGGCAATTATGGGTAATTTCAATATGAAACGGATAATTGGAGCGACTTTCGTTTTCCAATTTTAACGAACATTAAATACCAGTTTTTTTTTAGTATTTGCAAACATTGCAATAAGATTGTTTGATGGTAATTGTGAATTTCGAACTGTTTTAAAGTTTCTTAATCATTAAGAATTGCGAGGTGTAAATATTTCCACGATGTAAGGTAAACACCGATTGAGAAATGACGAAAGAAAGAAAAAGAACGAAAATATTGAAATGTTTGGAAATGAGGAGAAAGTGGTACAACATTATCTTAAGAATTCCAGATTGGGAAATCCACAGAAATTAAGAAATAATTGAATGTATCGCTTAACCGAGTCGCACAGTGATCTGGTTATTATCGTGACGCGTAAAATAATGACAAATTTGCATAGCATAACAATGATTCTTGACCTGAGGTGATTCGAACCATTCAAACAAACTATTGAATTCTTGGTGAATTCCATTCGACTATTCTATTGAATGAGGAAATAGAAAGTAAAGTTAGTTTTCGACAAAAATTACAAATGAAGATGAGTCACGCTCGGCGTAGGTTGATTTAATGCTGCATGGAAACTTGTGTACTACTTCAACATTCTAATCTTAGGTTTTTCACTAAAATCAATTATCAATTTTCTTAATTTACATTCAATTTTTCATTTATAGTTTAATAAAATTTAATTTAATATAGTAATAGTAAAAGTAACAAAAAAAATTGAATTAAAAAAATGCATATACAAAAGCATTCATTAAATCACATTCGTTTATTTTGCTTTAAAATATCTAGTCTTTTCTAGTTTCTTTTAACGAAATATTATTCTTATTATGTTAAGTTATTCTATGAGGTTTTCGCATATATATTACATAATTTTATGTATGTAAATTTACATAGTCACGATGTGTGTGTGTGTATATCGAAACTTTTTTCATTAATTTGTCAGGTTTCAAAATTTCTGGAATGTCACCAATATTTTTGTAATTTCTTCGAATGATACGCGTAAATCAAATATATATATATATTGCAATAAATAACTCTTATAAATTTGATAGTGAAAAGCGTATTTAGCAAAT